AATTACACCCTCACCTTTGTGGACGCGTACTCACGACACGTCTGGGCCGCCAACGTCGACGTTCGCTCCAAGGCTCCTAAGATCTTCCGCATCTGGCTCGTACACACGCAACGACAAGCTGAAAATTTGGCAGACTGACGGCGCCAAGGAGTTTCGCAGCAATGAGCTGGAAGGGCTTCTCGCAGAGAAGGGGATCAAGTATCAGATCTCTCTCCCCTACGCTCACCAGCAGCAAGGCGTCGCTGAGAGGGTCAACCGCACTCTCATGAGGCATTCCGGCCTACCCATAAAGTATTGGCCGTACGCCATGAACCACGTCGTGCGCCTGCACAACCTCCTCTCCACCACGGCCAGCAGGGGCAACCTCTCCCCGCACATGAAGTGGACCGGCTCAAGGGGAGATACCTCCATGTTGAGGGTTTGGGGATGTTTGGTGCAATATCGACCGACCTCGGCCACCACTGGCAAGTTCACTCACTGCGCACGCTGGGGAGTTCACCTGGGACTCGGTCACGAGTACCAGGGCTGGCTAATTCTCGACATCGACACCAACAAGATCGTCTCTGCGCGCGACATCCTCTTCTACGAACTCTGAAGCAGTGGAATGAGGATCAGGTCCGCCGTGTCACACGCCTACGCCAACAACGGCCGCAGCCTTGCATCTCCGGAAGACGAGGCAACAGCAGCAGCATTTGACCGCGACCCCGCCGACGAACATCCCGGCGTACCACCTCACCCGCGCGACGGCGACGATGATGACGGCGACGACGCTTCCGCGCCAGGACCATCACGCCGCCACACTCAGCCCAGCACTTCCTCACCTGCCCACGAGAGTGACGATGACGATGTGGTGGAGGTCACCACCACAGACGCTGCAGGCGCCCCCAATGTCACGGGCCTACAGCTTTCTCGGCCTACACACGTCAGTCACTACCCTCACGCGCGCCGTCAAATCCCAGAATCCACTCCAGGCCCTAACCGGTCCCCACACCAAGGAATGGCGCGCAGCTATGGACGCGGAGCTGAAGGCACTGGAATCACGAGACACATGGGTCCTAGTGGATCGTGCAGCAGTGAAAGGGAGGAGGGTGCTAAGCGGAAAATGGGTTTTTCGTCTGAAGACTGCAGCTGACGGAACTATCGAGCGTTTCAAGGCACGCTGGGTTGTAAGCGGCTACGACCAGCGCCACGGCATCGACTTCGACCAGAATTTTGCCCCCGTCAGTCGCCATACCTCTGTGAGGATTCTACTCGCCATCGCTGCAGCTAAGCACCTACTACTGCGGCAGATCGACGTCAAGAGCGCGTTCTTATATGCGTTGGTCGACGCAACCATCTTCGTGGAACAACCTCACACCTACGGGGAAGGAGATCCCAGGGTCTGCCAGCTGAAGAAATCCCTCTCGGGATAAAGCAGACACCGCGTCTCTGGCAGCAGCACCTGCACAAAATCCTCCTGGAAATCGGCATTAGGCAGCTACCGCACGACCCATGAATGTACCGCCTCCACTTCAACGGCGATTACATCCTTCTGACCATCTGCGTCGACGACCTGCTGTACACCGGCACCTGCAACAAGCTTCTGGACCAGATCGAAGCTAACCTGGCGCAGCGCGTTGACGTCACCATCAACCACAAGGTCACGCAGTTCCTGGGGCTGAACATCACTTACGCGCCAGAAGCAATTCATTTGTCAGCTTCTAAGTACGCAGAGCAGCTAGGGGAACGCTTCAAAATCTCACCCGCACCACTCTCAACTCCTTACCGCAACCCCAGCGCCAACTACAAACCGGACAACAAAACTCTGTCGCCCGTGGGACTCCAACTGTACCAGCAGCAACTGGGGTGCTTGTTGTTCGCCTCTGTCACATGTTGACCCGACCTTTCGTACATCGCTAGCCAGTTGTCACAATACTCTCGCAAGCCAGTAGCTGAGAACCAACTGGACCTGGAGCGCGCCCTGCAGTACTTCATCTCCACACCTGACATCGGGCTCTCCTTCTCCACGCTGACAACAACCTCCTTCAACCTCAACGCCTACGTGGACGCAGATCATGCAGCTGATCCTGCGAATCGACGATCACGAACCGGCTTCGTCTTCCGCCTGGAGCCAACATGACCAATCTCCTGGAAATCACAGAAGCAGGAGCTGGTTGCCCTGTCGTCGGCCGAAGCAGAGTACATCGTAGCGACAGCAGCAGTTTGCGAAGGTCTGTACCTACAGGAACTGCTGCAGGAAGCGAAAATCTCAACCTCGCCCACCTTTCGCCTCCACTGCGACAACCAGAGCGCCATCAAGATCGCGAACAAGCCAGGGTTCGTCAACCGCACGAAGCACATCGCGCTTCGATATTTTTCCGTCAAGCACGAAATTGACCAGGGCAAGGTTGACCTCACGTACTGCCCCACCACCGAGATGGCAGCTGATTTCCTCACCAAGCGACTGCCACGTAAGCAGTACCAGCACTGCTCCAACCTTACCGGAGTAGTCAAGCGAGTCAGCCCTCTGCGCGACCAGGAATGAAGGGGAGTGTTACGATATGAAAAATGAGTAAGGCATTCCTGTTTTCTGCAGGAGCCGACTCTACCGAGTACGAAGTCGAGGAGTCAAAAGAGTCGAAGCGACACAGCAACCGTCTAGTCAAGACCGATGCAGGCAGAAACATTTGAAGTGAAAAGAGCGGGAACAGGTTCAAAACGGGTTCCCGCGCCGCACGGTTTGAATTCGCTGCAATAAGGGATGCACCCCTTAGAGTGCATGGCTAGTCTAGGTCGTGTCGTATTCCTTTGTATTTCCTTTATAAACTCGATGTATGCATGCTATTATCATCTCAGTCATTTACATTCACTCTGACATGAGGTCAACAGTTCCGCTGCTACACTACCCTGCGATCAACCCTGAACGATCCTTCGATAAGTCCCACTTGGGATTGTAACAAAGGCTTCTGACCAGCTCCTGCCGTATTTTGTCAGTGCGAAAGATACGGTACTGATTACCGGTACGCTGAACAGTCAGTGGTTTTGGGCCTCTGACTGAAAATTCAGTACAGCTTTATTTATGGAATGGGACTGAAATTTCTGTGATGTGAAGGAGCAAATTGAGGAATCAAAGTACAGGGGTGTGATGCTAACACTGAGCCGTCAGGATACCAAGCATGATCGTTTGAGTTGAGACACGTCCTTTTGAGACTCGAGCTCGCAGGAATGTATGGTACCCTAAGACGAACAACACAAGACTTGTCCGACAGCGAAGTCCTTACGGGAGACACACACACGCTTGTTCCCCAACCTGCACACAGCTCCCTTGCTCGTACGGTGTCTGACAAGTAGAGTGTCTTGAAGGGGACAAGAATCTCGAAAGCAAAGAAGTTTAAAACAAGTCAAGGTACCAGTATTTGGGCAACCAGTGCTCGAGAGTCACTGGATGTGTCGGTCTGCAGCAATAGCAACGAGAGAGGAGCAGAGGAAGAATGGTCACAGTAATGATTGGAACATACAAATTCAATCACTTCTAAGTTAGCGCAGTTGGAAGGCCCAATTCAGCATGCGACACGAATTCACATCAAAGGTGGAAGATTGTGGAAGCATACCCAAAACCACTTGCAGAGCTTTGGAGCTTCGAAGCTGGAAGTCTGATGCCAAGACACCAGGTAAGCGCTCGAGGCATGACAGCGTGCATGCACTCGAGGCATGACAGCGTGCAAGCACTCGAGGCATGACAGCGTGCATGCACACGCCATGCAAATTCACCATGCAGTCGCACCTTTAATGGGTCCCGGGAGGAGGCGTGTGAAGGGGAGGTGTGCGGAGGGGAAGTGAGAGGCAGAGGCACGGCAGTGCGGGGCGAGCTTGAGGGCGAAGTAGGCGAGGGCGAGCAGCACTATCACGGCTGCTATGTCGTTCGGTAGGTAGCCTGGGGGGTGAGGGGGGGAGAGGGGGGGAGCGACACGAGGGGGAAGGGGTGATGGTGCCGGCACAATGCCTGAGAGCGAGGTAGGCAAGGGCGAGAGGTACAATGTGGCTGCCATGCTGCCTGGTAGGGAAGTGATGACGGGCGGTTGGGAGGAAGAAAGACATTGGTGAAGGGTGTGAGTGGAGTGCAGTGCATGATAGCGTCTGAGACTGCGAGAGCAGCAATGGTTCCACTGCAAATGGTACGACAGGGCATGACGGTACGCGGAGTAAGGTCGGGGTGGGAAAATAAGAGAGAGTGGTGGGCGGAGTCTCTCTCCAGTGTCGCATCTGCTGCTTCCAAGAACCTCTCATATCAACGCCCTCCTTCTTGTGGCACCTCAGCAAGTCTAGAACGGCAAAAAGAGTTGGAGTTGATGCATGAGACCCTGGTACACTGACAAAATCAGCTTAAGATTTTAATTACCCTGTTTCCATCAGTGTACGAGATTTCTACCCTAGGAGTCAGGGTTGGCCCACCCTGGAACACTGATTAGACAGGGTGGGCCAAAACCAATTTTGGGCCCTGAATGTATGGTAACCTACGACGAACAACACTAGACTTGTCCGACAGCGAAGTCCTTATACACACACGCTTGTTCCCCATCCTGCAACAAGCCGCACACAACGACCTTGCTCGTACGGTGTCTGACAAGTAGAGTGTGTTGAAGGACAAAAATCTCGAAAGCAAAGAAGGCTAAAACAAGGTAAGGTATTTGGGCAACAAGTGCTTGAGAGTCACTGGATGTGTCGGTCTGCAGCAACAGCAACGAGAGAGAAGGAGCAGAGGACGAATGGTCACAGTAATGATTGGAATATTCAAAATTAATCACTTCAAAGTTAGCGCAGTCGGAAGGCCCAATTCAGCATGCGACACGAATTCACATCAAAGGTGGAAGATTGTGGAAGCATATCCCAAAACCCAGCATATCCCAGTTGCAGATCTTTGGAGCTTCGGAGCTTGAAGTCTGATGCCAAGACACCAGGTAAGTGCTCGAGGCATGTCAGCGTGCATGTACTTGCCATGCAAACTCACCACACAGTCGCACCTTTAATGGGTCCCGGGAGGACGCGTGTGAAGGGGAGGTGTGCGGAGGGGAAGTGAGAGGCAGAGGCACGGCAGTGCGGGGCGAGCTTGAGGGCGAAGTAGGCGAGGGCGAGCAGCACTATCACGGCTGCTATGTCGTTCGGTAGGTAGCCTGGGGGGTGAGGGGGGGAGAGGGGGGGAGCGACACGAGGGGGAAGGGGTGATGGTGCCGGACAATGCCTGAGAGCGAGGTAGGCAAGGCCGAGAGGTACAATGTGGCTGCCATGCTGCCTGGTAGGGAAGTGATGACGGGCGGTTGGGAGGAAGAAAGACATTGGTGAAGGGTGTGAGTGGAGTGCAGTGCATGATAGCATGTGAGACTGCCAGAGCAGCAATGGTTCCACTGCAAATGGTACGACAGGGCTTTTAAGGCACGCGGAGTAAGGCTGGGGTGGGAAAATAAGAGAGAGTGGTGGGCGGAGTCTCTCTCCAGTGTCGCATCTGCTGCTTCCAAGAACTTCTCATATCAACGCCCTCCTTCTTGTGGCACCTGAGCAAGCTTAGAACGGCAAAAAGAGTTGGAGTTGTTACATGGTGCCTTGTGCCTGAAGGCCATGTTAGGTGGTCATGTTGCGGCCCCACTGCATCAATCTCAGCGCACCATGTCCATGAAAAGAGGACCTGCCAACATGCTCACACACACCTAGTCCTACAACTACCAGCACCCACTCTCTTCTCTTTCCCTCCTTTCATGCACACACATGCTTATGCAGAACAAGCTCTGTACCCTCACACTCATGCTCACACCCATCATTACTGCACCCACAAACTCATACAGAAGGTGCTCTCACTCACTCGTCAATGCACCTAATGTCCACACTTGCCCTGAGCGCCATCACCTCTACTCCCGAGGACAGCTGCTTTCAGTCACCGTAAGGCACACCTAGTTAGGCACACACCCGTTCAAAACACACACCTAGTTAGGCACACACCCGTTCAATAGTTAGGCACACACCCGTTCAAAACACTCACCTAGTTAGGCACACACCCGTTCAAAACACACACCTAGTTAGGCACACACCCGTTCAAAACACACACCTAGTTAGGCACACACCCGTTCAAAACACACACCTAGTTAGGCACACACCCGTTGAAGCTCATGCCCCATGAGGCACATGCCCCCCTGGCCCAGTGCTATTCACAATCCGCACGGGGTAGGCATGCCTGTGGCACACACCACAGTCCGCCATGCACATGTGCTGCTCACATCACATGGCATGCGCATGTGCATGTGGAGGTATGTGCGGGTGCATGTATGTGCATATGCATGCGCCCGTGCCTGTGCATGTGCGTTTGCATGTGGATGTGCACTGACAGCAAGGCAGCACTCACCGCGGGGCACATGGCCGCCAGGGGGCGTCCTCACCATCTCCACCACCTCAACGCCCACCAGCAGCGGCGGCTGCTTGGAGCCGCGCATGGGGGAGAGCAGCAGGGCGAGGGCGGGGCCGTACTGCTGCGCGTAGCGTGTGAAGTTGAAGCACAGCTGCACCACCACCGCGCGGTCATGCGACCCGTTGGCCGCCACCAGGATGTCAAAGCCTGTCCGGCTCCAGTCCCGGGCGAACAGCGGGTTGCTCCCATCAAACACATCCTCCCCCTCTTCTATCTGCTCCTCCGCCTGCTTCTCATGCTGCCCCTCCCAGTGCCCCAGCACCTGCGGTTGCTTGGACCGTAGCAGCTGCAGGCGCTCCTGCTTCCACGGGCGCGGCTGCGGGCCGAACAGGAACTCGCCGAGGCGGAAGTCGAGGAAGTTGCGGTACCAGTTGACGGGCGTGCCCACGCCGCCACCCGTGCCAAACTCACCACTCTCACTGACGCTCTTGAGGGCGTCCAGCACCACGTTGCCATGCACCACCGGCTTCCGCCCGTCCAACCCCGTGTGTGCTATGTGCTCCACTCCCACCCTCCTCCTCCTTCCCCTCCTCTTCCCTTCCCCTCCGCTCTCGCCCTTCCTCCTCCATGCCCTAGAGGAGTGCTGCTTCTTTCCCGTGCTCTCATTACCCGCATTCCCCCAAACACTACCCCTTCTTGCTCTAATTTCTTCCCATTCCCCAAAGAGCTTTCTTCGGGCATTACTTGCATCCTCCTCGCTCTCCCTCCCAGTGCCCATCATGTGCCCTTCCATCACTTCCGCCCCTGCGCCCTCCTCTTCCCCAACCGCCCTCCCTGCATTCACCTCCACATCACTCCCCTCCATGCCCATGCCAGCGCTCAGCCTTTGAAGCCTCTCCCCGCGCCCCAGCCATCTAACCGCGCCTCTGCTGCTTGCTGCCTCCCCGTCACCACTTGCTGTGCCTCCCTCAGTACCTGCTCTCTCCTCCTCATCCATTTCCCTCTCCCTCATCATCCCCTCCTCTCCTCCCTCCTCTCCCCTCTCCATCTCCCTCTTCCCTCCGCCGTTTGTCTTGCCCCACTTCCATCCCTTCCGCTCATCCCCTCCCTCCTCTTCCCCCTTCTCGTCCCCCACCTCCCCCTCCCTCTCCCCCTGCCCCTGCCCCACGCCCAGCACGCTCATGGCGCCCAGGCGGATGTCAAAGCGCCGGTCACCGGGGCGCACGAGGGGGTCGAGCTCGGCGAAGAAGAAGTGCAGGCAGAGCACGTCCAGCAGATTCACCGGATCTAGTCGCACTGCGAACCCCACCGACCCCACACATGTCTCTGACTCCCCACTGCTGCTGCCGCCACCTCTGTTGCTGTTGGCCCAGCACACCAGCCCTCCTCCTCTCCTGCCCCCCCACTCCGGCTGCTCGCCCCCACTTTTCTCTCGCCCCTGGCCTGCCCTCTCCTCCACTGCTCCCTCCCACGCCGACTGGAACACAGCAGAAGGAATGTAGTCCGGCGCCACGTCAGCACCAGCAATGGGTCAGGATGTGGTTACCACGTTGAACGGATGCCCACGTGCAACCCAATTGCTGCTACCCGTCAGTGTTGTATTCGTCCCAACGCTGCTGCTGCTGCTGCTACTGCTGCTGCTGCTGCTGCTGCTGCCACCACTGGCACCACTACTAACATCCGACTGCAGAGCCACGGAACCAGGCACGGCGCCCCATGCAGGAGCTAAGTCGCGCCCCCACACCCTGTATGCGCTGTCCTCCTCCGCCCATCCCACCTCCCCCATTCCGCCCTCTTGCTCCTTCCCCGCCCCCTCCTCCAGCAACCCCCTCTCCCCCTCGGCCAATGCACCTGCCCGCCCCACCTTCCGTCCCCTTCCTTCCAACCCTCCCCCATTCGCTGCTTCCGCCTCTTCACCTTCCAGTTCCGCCACCCTCCCCACTGTCCCTCCCGCTGCTCTCTCCCACCCCCCCCCTCCCATCCTGCCCTCCTGCATCGCAGGAACCACGTCCCCTGCCCCGCCTTCTGGCCCGCCACCCACCATCCGTGTCGCGCCCAGGTTGTGGCGCAGCAGCGGCACCACCACCACGTCCCTGCCTGTCACCGCCCCATCGTACGCCAGGGGGTGCACGCAGGGTGCAAAAAAACGACGTTTTTTTCAAAATTTGATCGTAAAATACCGTATCGTAAGAAACGATCGTAAAATACAATAAATTTCGATTTTTAGAAATTAATTGATTTGGGTGGAAAAAAACCATCGTTTTTTTCAGAAAAGGGTACAAAACTGCTGCTGTAACAGGGGGATTGTTTTGTGAGTAGAATGAGGGGGCTGTTAGAAGTATTGCTGATGCACTAGGAGATGGTCAAAAGTGTTTTTTGGGTCACAACAGCATTTTTTTTATCGAGGCGCTTTTTTCTGTCTAACAAAAAAACGACGTTTTTTTTCCCAAAAGGTACCGTAAAGAACAATCGAAAAATACAATCGTATTTTTCGACAATCGTTTTTTTCCACCTTGGGTGCACGGGCAGCAGCTCCAGCGAGTTCACCTGGGGGGGCGCCGCCACCACGCCCAGCAGCGGCAGGAAGCACACGGCGATGCGGCCCTGGCGGGCGAAGGCGACGAACTCGGAGTAGAAGGCGGAGAGCGGGTACTGCTGCTCTGACACCGCCATCACCACCGTCCTCAGAATGAGCCCGTTGACGGCCATGTGGAAGGCGGGCGGGCGCAGGGAGCCATCGTAGTTGCGGTAGGCCACGCCCACGCGCACCAGGTAGCGCGCGTCAGCGGGGAGAGGCACCGTGTAGCACCCGCCGTTGCTGTTCCCGCCGGGGAAGGCGCGCAGGGTGCCCTCGACGGGCGAGGCGAGGCGAGGGTAGGGAGGGGCGTGGGGAGCGGTGGGGTGTGGCGAGGGGGGGATGCGGAAGGGCTGCCCCGCGTCGTAGAAGGCGTCGGGCCGCCAGTGGCGGCCGTTGATAGTCAGCGCCTCGCTGCTGCCACAGTTGATTCGCACTGGACCTGCTTGGGGAGAGGGAGGCGGGAGAGATGAGAGGGAGGGTAGACGGGGGAAGATGGGGGGGAGGGAGTGCGGAGGAGAGCAGAGGGAGCGGAGGAGACGAGGAGGGTGAGGAAGGCCAGAGGCAGGTAGGGCGGGAGGAGAGGCAGAGCGGAGGAAGGCGAGGCGAGGGAGGGAGTAACGGTGGATGCAATCAGGGTGAGCGCCCTCTGTTAGGGAGGCGCAGCGAGGGCAAGCAGAGAATGGGGAGACTCACGTGAGGCGAGGGTGAGCACGGACGTTGCATGCGACACGCGGAACGAGAAGGAGCGGACACACACCTGAAAGGGGCTCCGGAGGTTTGAAACGAAAAGCGGCGGAGGAGGTGAGTTGCGCGGCAGCGACCAGCAGCAGGGCGACAGCTGGCGCGAACGCGAGGTTCCGGACGTCGTCAGCCATTCGCTCGCAGCGCAGAAAGAAACGCGGCGACGCTGTGAAGAGAAGGCGCTGCTATCTCGTCATCAGCAAGGTTGGAGTCACACGAGCTGCGCTTGGGGGCAGGGGGGAGACGGACACAGTGGCTTGGGTTCAGGTGCAGAAGAGGGCGTGGATAGGAAGGGCTGGAGCAGGAAGTTGAGCAAGCAAGCACAGCAGCACGTACTGCCTGCCGTGCTGCTGCAGCCTGCGGTATGGGTTGGGACTAGCATGGCCTGGGTGGTTGAGGATGGGGGATGGTGGGAAGAAACGAGAGTTGGGGAGAAGGAAAGGAGGATATGGGGAAGGGAAAAGGGGCTGGGGGATGGGGCGGAAGGGGAGACCTTGTGCGCCTACCTCTATTTTCTGCACACCACCCTTCCCCCCAGCACCGTCCCTTTCCCCTCTTCTCCCCACCATTCCCGTCCCACCGTGTTGTGTGCCTCCTTTTCCCGTCCTTTCCCGTTCCGTCCCAACCCGTCCCGGCGTCTCTCAAACTCCCTGACCTCTTCCGTTCCCCCTTTCCCAAACACTTCCCTCCCATTTCTATCCTGTCCCCGCCCCGTTCCGTCCCTCCTCCACTCCCCTCCCCTTCCCGTCCCTTCCCGTCCCTTCCCGTCCCTTCCCGTCCCTTCCCGTCCCTTCCTGCCCCTTCCCGTCCCTTCTCGTCCCTTCCCGTCCCTCCCCGTCCCTTCCCGTCCCTTCCCGTCCCTTCCCGTCCCTTCCCGTCCCTTCCCGTCCCTTCCCGTCCCTTCCCGTCCCTTCCCGTCCCTTCCCGTCCCTTCCCGTCCTTTCTTCCTGCCGCCCATCCCAACAAAGGCAGGGCTCAAAAGGGCATGAAAAAGGAAGGATTCTGCAAGGTTGCTTCCGCGATACTTACGACAGAGTTACTTGTAGGTGGCTTTCGACTCTGGCGACTCGGAGAAGTTGCCCTAAAGGTGGCGACGATGAGCATTTTCGTTTTTGTTACGGATGGGTGTAAGTTTTGGGCGCGTGCAATGTGCAGGCGTTCGTGAGGATATGTTCGATTTCACTACATTGAAACTTTATGTTTGTACTTTAAAGCCAGCAGCTAAAATAGTGACCCCCCCCTTCTAGTTGGGTCCACTTGAAAACAGAGTTTTTTGGAACACTTCGGACAGTTGGAAGTGCTGTGCATTTATATTTTTTCACTCCATACGAATCTCATTGTGAATGGTGAACATTTGGACCATGTGTACAACTCTGATTGGAAGCGAAACTCACACACAACTCACACATACTTGTGTGCGAATTTGGCGCAAGGTTGCAATGCCTGTATTCACTCGAGCAGTCATCGTACCATAACTTCACCAAAACTCACTTCAATCAACAACACAGGAAAAGTCCAGCGCACACACATGTGCAAGAGTTGAGAGCAGAGCTGCGAGAAAAGACGTTTCCTTGGACTTGGGGCTGAAAGAGGTTAAAATTTTGGAAAACAAGTTGGACAAGGTAATAACCAGCGGATGGGAGGGGAGAGTACAAGAGCGACGGAGGAAAGGGGAGAGAGGAGGAACGAGGGGATGGGAGGGGAGAGGAGGCGAACGACGGGATGGGAGGGGAGAGGAAGCGAACGACGGGATGGGAGGGGGGGGGGAGCGAACGACGGAATCGGAGAGAGGAGGCGAACGACGGGATGGCGAGGGGAGGGAGGAACGTGAGCGATAGGAGATGAAGTGGGCGACGGAAGAGAGGGGAAATTGCAAGGGCGACGGGATGGAGAGCGCGAAGGCGACGGGAGGGAGAGCGTGAAGGCGACGGGAGGGAGATCGCGAAGGCGAGGGGGGAGAGAGTGCGAAGGCGACGGGAGGGAGAGCGCGAAGGCGACGGGAGGGAGAGCGCGCAGGCGACAGGAGGGAAAGCGCGCAGGCGACGGGTGGGAGAGCGTGAAGGCGACGGGAAAAATGATGGGAGGGGAGAGAGGAAGGGCGCGGGGAGGCTGTTTCAGAGAGAGAGCGTAGGCGACGAGGTGTGTGATGGGAGGGGTTAGAAGAAAGGCGTTGGGAGGGAGGCATTTCGGGGAGAGAGCTAAAGCCGACGAGGTGAGCGATGGGAAAGGCGACGGGGAGAAAAGTTGTCGACAGGAAGGGAGGGGGGAGAGCGAGGGTGACGGGGAGGGAGGGAAGGAAGAGAGGGCGACGGGGGGGGGGAGAGAGACCCGCGAAGGTGATGGGAGGGGAGCGGACAGCGGACTAAGGACTGGAGGGTAGGGGAGATGGCGAAGGCGCGAGACAGGAAATGTCAGAAACAAGAAGTGTTGAACTAGAAACAAGTGGGAGTACAAATGTGAAACCCTAGAGTTGTGAACCCCCTAAAGGCTAACTCACTGTAGCCTACAATAATGTAACACATATAATGTTTGACACACCCCCATAGGCGAAGTGGGGGAGAGCAAGGGGTCACAAGACCAGTCAGAGCAAAGCAAAGCAAAACAACCTCAGGGTGGATCTCAAGGATACCACACAAATTCCGAGCACAAGCAAATGGTCACAAGACCAGTTCACATGCAGTTTGATAATATAACAAGAGGTACAGTGATCACAACCTAGCAAGTGTAAGCATGCAGGTATATATATAGAGATCACAGTACAAGCAGAGTCAAGAAGTGAGCAAGTGAGGGACAGTAGGCACAAGGCCTAAAACAGTACAGAAACGCTGATGATCACAAGGCTGAAGCGCCTTGGTGAACACATCAGCAGTGTTGGCCCGAGTGGCCACGTACGAGAGACGAAGCTGACCACGCTGCTGCAGCTCTCGAGCAAGGAAGTAGCGCAAAGCAATGTGCTTCGTTCTGTGCTCCAGTCTGTGCTCCTGACACAAGGCAAGGGCTGTCTTGTTGTCGACGTACAGCACTGGAGGAGAACGAGGCCGCTCGCCCAGGTCGGTCAGCAGGTAGGTGAGCCAGCGTAACTCCTGTGCAGCCATGGCTGTGGCGTAGATCTTAGCCTCACAACTGGAGCTGAGAACTGAAGACGAGCGTGTAGAACGCCAAGAAACTGAACCACAGCCAAGACTGAAGGTGTAACCCTGAGACGACCGCTGCGTAGCCTAGTCGTCAGCCCAAGAAGCGTCTGAGTGCCAAGTGAGGACAACGTCTCTCCGTCCTCCAAGCACAAGCCCCATGCCCGACGTACTGCACAAGTAGCGCAACACCCTCTTAGCGGCATCCATGTGCTCCTTCCGGTGATGGCCAGGAGCGACATAGCGTGCTAGGATGCTAAGAGGGTATGCAAGGTCAGGTCGAGTGCAGGTCATCAGGTACATGAGGCAGCCCACAAGCTCGGGATATGGGCCACTCGGCTCTACGGACTCATCCGAAGGCAGAGCTGAGAGCGAGTGACCGGTAGGCAGAGGAGTGGGCTGAGGCGAGGAGTAAGTGAAGCGGAAGCGCTGAAGGACCTGCTGCACCATGTGTGACTGAGTCAAGGTGATGGTGCGCTGTGCTCTGTCCCGGGTGATCCGCAAGCCAAGATAGCTTGTCAGTTCACCCAGGTCTGTGCACGTGTGTCTCTTCTGCAGCTCCGACTTCACGTGGGCGAGTGCCTCAGTGTCAGCAGTAGCAAAGACCAAATCGTCTACGTACACGAGAACGTAGAACGGCGACAGAGTGGTGTCGGTGCGTAGAAACAGCGACGGGTCAGCAGTAGAAGGAGTAAACCCAAGAGCAGCAAGAGTAGTCCTCAGTGTGTCGTGCCACTCACGGGGTGCCTGGCGGAGACCGTAGACTAGCCGCCGGAGGCTCCACTGGGTACCAGCAGGGAACGACCCAGTGAAGCCAGGTGGGCGGCGCAGCCAGATCTCCTCGTGCAGGCTGCCCTGTAAGAACGCAGTGCTGAAGTCAAGAGAGTGGAGCTCGTAGTCACGCTGAGCGGCGACGTGCAGCAGAACCCGAAGAGTGGTCATCTTCGAGGTCGGGGAGAAGGTCTGGAAGAAGTCAACTCCCTCTCGCTGACTGAAGCCTCGTGCAACGTAACGCGCCTCGAAGACAGGCGGAGAACCCGGCGGCCGCTTCACCCTGAAAATCCACATGCCACTGACGATGTTCGCCCCAGGTGGGGGAACCTTGTCGACGTAGGTGCCTGTGGACTTCCAGGAAGCCATCTCTGCGTCCATGGCTGTCTGCCACTGAGAGGAGTAGGTACCCTCCATCGCCTCTGCGTAAGAGCGTGGGGTCGGGATGTCTGTTGCATCCGGGTCTCCCTCAGGGGCAATCAGCATGGACACGAGATGAGGTAAAGCAGCAGCAAAGCACTCAAACTCCTTCTGTCTGTCCTCAAGGACGTCTGTGCCAAGAGCACACTCACCCCCGATGGACGGAGGACAGACAGACTCAGACTCAGCAACAAGGCTAGCGGCGTAGTCTAGACGACAGGCGGCAGCAAAGTCAACAAGCTCAGCGACTAGAGCAGACGCAGCAGAGGACTCAAAGGTAGGGTCAGTGACAACAGTAGCGAGGAAACGCGTGACAGTAGGACTGGCAGCACGAGCAAGGTCTGACGGCGGGTCAGCAACGTCAAGAAGAGAGGACGCAGGAGGAGACGGCAGAGGGACACGCTGTGGAGCAGTGGAAGGACGCAGGGTCATATAGTGAGTGCCAAGGACAGGAGGAGGACGCTCACGCGGAGCACGACGACCAGCGCGGACAGCGCGGACAGGCGACTCTGGACTCGACTCAGGCGACTCTGGACTAGACTCAGGCGACGGAGGACGAGACTCAGGCTCACGACGCTCAGTAAGACTACCCGTCGGCGCAGTGTAAGGAGAAGGACCAGGCAGCGGAGAGGCAGGCTGTAACTGTGACTGCGACTGGACAGGCGGTGGACCCAGTAGGGGAGGAGTAGGACCAGTAGAGGGCGGGAGACAAAGAACCTGCTGAAGGAGCGGAACGTAGTACGGCCGCGGCCGCTCAGCACCTCCAGCTCCAACCCCCTCAGCAGCTCCAGTCCCAGCAGCTCCAGTACCTCCAGTACGAGCACCTCCAGGACCAGCGGCTCCAGCAGCTCCAGCACCAGCAGCACCACCAGCAGCACCAGCACCTCCAGCAGCTCCAGCAGCACCGCCAGCAGCAGCAGTGCCTTCAGCAGCTCCAGCACCAGCAGCACCTCCAGCAGCTCTAGCAGTACCAGCACCAGCAGCACCTCCAGCAGCTCCAGCAGCACCAGCACCAGCAGCACCTCCAGCAGCTCCAGCAGCTCCAGCACCAGCAGCACCTCCA